AGGCAAAAGGGGGTCCAACCCGTTACTAGCATGGGGTACCTAATAAAGTGGCTGGTGAGTGTAGATCTTGTGCTTCTAGACCTCACTAAGGGATGGAAGGACTCCGTTTGTAAGGGGTATGCAAGTGATCTAAAACAGTAAAGTGGCCTATAAAGGTTTAATGGTGTTATTGTGTCCAAAATGAGCTGGATGTATTATTAAACTTTCAACAACTGGCTCCTGTAAGGCTTCTTTTTCAAAAAAGACATTTTTGCATCAGCTCTATAGATAGCTGATTGGTGTAGCCTGTTGTTGGTAGAGCCCTTCAAATCAGGCTCTACCTGCTCCTTCCAGTTTATGGGGTGAGTCAGTTTGGGTGGCCAGGCTAACTTTAAAGAAACCAATTAACCTTACATTTATGTAGAAACGTATGTTTGTTTTTTTAAGGAAGTGAGAGAGTACCTGACTAGAGCTAGAGCTAGAACATGCAACCAGAGAACATGCAGAAAAACTCCAGGCTGGGATTCAAACCCAGGACAAAGACATGGTGTTACATCTGTGCCACTACCCTACACTCTATGTTTTACAAATAAAAATATTGAAAAAGAGCCCTCCAAACAGACAGCTATGCATTTATGTAAAATCTGTTCAAATTTAAAACTATTTAATTAAATTCCAAAGAGAAATAAAATATTGTAGCTCCTATTATGCGCCTTTCTTCTACTAGTTTTTCTGACCTCTTATCAGCACTGATTCGCTTCCCTGTTTCTGTTGGAGAAAAGCATCCTCAGCATTATGCTGCCTCCACCTTGTTTCACTACAAGGGAAATGGTTAAATAGAATTGGGTCTCCTCCAGGCAGAGAGTCTTCTTTCCATGTTTGCTTTGTCTCCTACATTCCTGGCAGCGCTTTGTAGAGTAAATAAACCTTTTTTTGCGGTTAGCATAGAGAAAAGCCGTTTGCAACAAATTCTCTCACCTGAGCTGAGAATCTATGCAGCTCTTCCAAAGTGACTAAAGCTCTCTTTTTCAATTAGTGCTCTACGTGCCTGGCTGGTCTTTATTGTTGGGCAATAATGCATTTATCTACACATACGGTGTCCTCTGCATGTGGCTGGTTGCACCGATTTTATTTTATTTTCAGCGTAGAGAGGGACTGAAATTTATGCTTGATTTTTTTTATAAAAAGGAACATAATCTGTTATAATTTGCTGTCCATTTTTGTAGTTTTTCATACTTTGTGTTATACTTTCACCTGAATAAATAGAAAAAAAAATTACATACTTTTTTTGTCATAAAAAACACATAAAATACGAGGGGAGTGTGTAACGGTAGGTGATTTAATTGTCATCTGCTTTCCTGCACAGCTGTGGAACAGAAAAGCACTTGTGTAGCAACGACATGTTGATGTTTGATCACTTGTCATTCAGGGAGTTATCTTTGAACCGGCTGCTGACTCTTTGGCCTTCAGAACTGATTAGATACTGCAAATAACCTTGTGCGTTGGATTATTGTAGTGCATTAGGTCAGAAGGGATGAAACCCCTGACTAATAGTCCAGAATGATAAACGTGAGATCTGATAAATATTTTAACATTTTTCTTTTAATGCAAATTATAGAAAAACTGACATAGTTTTATTGATATTTACATCAACGTGGGTTTATTTTATTACAGACTACTATGTTTGCCTCAATTTTTATCCTGATTTGGAAAAAAATGAGGGATTTTCTACATCAAGCAGCTGTTTTTAAAGAATTTTTAAAGAAATTAATCTTTAGGTGAAATCCTGTTTTCTTCTTTTTGATGTTTATCTCTCTTCCCTGTTTCTGAGACTTATTTTTTTTTGTAAAATGCAGCTGAAATTAAAGTTATAGATATATTTATTTCCATCTGGAAAATTCACACGAAGAAAAAAGACAATTAGAAGAAATTTATTGATACAATTACTTGGTCTTTGTGCTGAATTTTGATAGATATGCATGAACAGGAGCAAAGAATAGGGCTGTTTCCCCCCCAGGCCTGAAACTGGTGGTGGAGTGGAGATAGATGAAGTTGGTCAGTCTGTAGACTGCTGGTTAGTGAGACGGTATGCTGAGGTTTATGGGGAGATCCAGAGGACTGCGTGAGCTGATTCTAGAGCTTCACTAAGGGACCTGGAAGATGGAAGTGCAGTTTGGATAACACAGGTTGAGAGAACCTGTCCATGATATGCAAGTATGAAGCGACAGTGGAGAGGAAAAACTCCCCGTTGGGAACAGAAATTGCTGGCAGAACCAGGCTAAACATGGCGGTCTTCTGCCGTACCGGTTAAGATGAGACAGGGAACACAGTAAGAGTCCAGGAGGAATGACACTATGATGAAGCTTTAGCTACTATGGTGGAGGAGGGGCTGGAGGTGGGTGGAACGGTGTCATCCTAATGAAGTCACACAGCGCATCCACCACCTGCGCACAGGAGCAGACAAGTTGTGGATCGAAGGCCTTTTAAGATGAACTTTCAATGCTGATTTGCTTTCCTGGAGGTGTGTTTCAAAGCTGATTGGCTGTGTCGTAGGCAGATGAGGCGAGTTATCAGTTTCTTCAGTTGAACTTCCACCTATAGGCTCCATTTGGAAAAATATTGCCATCATTTCCTAAAAGTCGATACTTTAGACTTATTTCTTTCAAACTAAGCAAAAAAAAGGACCCTCATCCATATTGCTTTAACTACTAGCTTTATGATTAATATACTCCACTCCTTTTCTTTTTCTGCCATATATAAAGTTTTAACATATTCATACAATGACGTAAAATAGAACAAAACGTACTGAGCAGATGTGTCCAAAGATAACAAAACCTGCAGTTGGAAGATTTGTTGTTTAATTCTTGTGGTTTTGTTATCTTTGTCTAATGAGTGTCTGAAACCAGTTTTGTTTTATGGGTAACAGGACTTTGGATCCCAAATAGACAGAGATGAGCTTACTCTTTATGTTATTTTAGACAGCTTATTTACAAACAGTCAAGCTGTTTTTATTCAGTTCTACAATACTGTGATGACTGAGACGGAGGGACCCAGTATTCAGGCAAGACAAAGTGGGATAACGTGGCGACGAACAGTTTGCAGACCTGCAGCAACAACGGCTAGGGCATCTAAAGCAGGTAACACTGGCGAGAGGAAACACAGGTTAGTGACCACGAAAAACCTGACGGAGGATGATCTGAACATGTGAGTCACTAACCTCGTTTAGAGTTCAGTCCGTGTCCAGAGAATGAGGTTGAACCAGTCGGTCAGCTGGCAAGACGCAGCAGTTTCTGCACAGAGAGTTCCAGGCGGTGAAGCCTTAAAGGACACAGAACTGACAGGAGATCAGATCCGGCAGAATCTGAAGACAGGTCAGGCAAACGGATCAGAACAGGGTCAGGCAGGCGCAAAGGTCCAAAGACAGAAACGGGTCAGGAACAGACAATCAGAACACCATAAGTAGAGCTAGAAAACTCTCACACCAAAGGCTCAAGAATAATCTGGCACTGACGACTGGGAACAAGCAGCTTAAATAAAGGCAGGAGCAGGTGGATCAGATGAGCAGTAATGAGGAACCGAGCAGAGTTAGACAGGTGAATGAAATGAGCAATTAAGCCAGCCATCAGCACCGAGATCATGACAAATATTTCATCTAAATGCAATGCAATATATAAATGCTTCATAAATTCATGTTTCATCCCAATTCACAGAAATTAACAAACCAAACATTTGGTCTGTTTTCACATATATGTTTTATTTTTTTGAGGTTTTTGCCCTTTTTGCTTGTTTTTTTTTAACCGTTTGCAATCTGCAGAATAATCAGTTGATGTCACTAATCGTGAAAACATCATAAAACCTCTTCTTTCTCTTTAATGGGATTGGTAATTACTGCTTCGAAAATAGATACAAATAGGTTGGTATTCTTATGTTTTTAAGTGGAATAATATTGTATTTATTTATTTCTTAAGGCTGAGAAAATCATGTTAAAATATCTGTATTTTTCAGTCTCAACTGCTCCGGATCATATATCCAGTTTTTTTAATGGTTATCTGTTCAGTGCTGTTTAATCCTGTAATGCCAAATGTATCATATTTGATACATACGGTTTCTGAAATGTTTTACATCTGACACTTTTTGCATAATTTAATGGAAAGAACTTTGCTCAAAATCCTATTGTACACAATCAGATATACCTGATGACAGCCAGTAG